GCCAAGGCAGGTGGATCACCTGAGGTCAGGAGTTCAAGACCAGCCTGACCAACATGGAGAAACCCCATCTCTACTAAAAATACAAAATTAAGCCAGATGTGGTGGTGGCTGCCTGTAGTCCCAGCTACTCGGGAGGCTGAGGCAGGAGAATTACTTGAACCTGGGAGGTGGAGGTTGCAGTGAGCCAAGATCGTGCCATTGTACTCCAGCCCGGGTAACAGAGCAAGGCTCTGTCTCAAAGAAAAAAAAAAGATTCCAATTATATAAAGTCAAAAAACAGACAAAGTAAACCTATGCTGTTTAGTGCCTGGGGTAGGGATGGGGGTTGTGAGTGAGTGGAAGGAGGCCTGAGAGGGCTGCTGAGGGGTAGGGAATACTCTGTTTATGATCTGGGTCCTGCTTACTTGAGTAGATTCGCTTTGCAAAAATTCATACTGTACCCCTATAATTTGGCTACTCTTCTATATTTTATTAAAATTAAAGTATCTTCTCAGGTTCATACACTTTGATCTAGAAGCCCCTATCCCCAACCCTGTTGGCTGCCCTCCCTATGACCACTTTCCTTCCTCTTCTTCCTTGCCAGAAAAACCCACCTCTCATGCAGGAGGCTAGAAAGGCCAGATGCTGGTTTTCCCAGCTTCCCTTGCAGTTGGTGGAAATCACATGGCCAGTTTTGGCCAATCAGACCTAAGGAGACATTTGCTCAGAGATTCCAGGAAAGATGTTTCTCCTTGTTAAAAATATTAGGGAAAGAGCAGGGGAGAAAAGCAGGGTAGGGAAAAACGTCCTGGCCTCCTTCCTTCTATCTTTGAATGCTACAGTCTGCAGAGAGGATGCCTGTGACTGCAGCAGCCATGTCACATCCATTAGGTGACAAGTCTGATGACAAAAAGCCAGCACACAGGATGCAGAGTGGATGGAGAAAAGGAGCCTGGGCCTCTAGCGGGATCATCAAGAACATCCCCAACCGTGAATCTGCCTACCCTCAGCCTTTTTGTTCTGTGAGATAACAAAATGCCTTTATTGCTGAGGCCATTGTTAGTAACTTGACACGACTGGTCCAGGAGGTGCCTTCCTAAGGGACTAACCCTAAAGAATGAAAGATGAACCACCTGCATGGTGTTACGTCAGGGTTGGTGAGATGGAAATCACCTAATACCTATCTCTAGCAGATGGCAATTTCCAAAAACAACCACAACAATATTTCCAGTCCCATATGTTCTCCAGAACCCTGTTAAGAGGTAAAGTCAATGACCCCTTCTCCTTGAATCTGGAAGTGTCTCTACTAATTGCATATGGCAGAAGTGATGTGTGGTTTCCAATGCCAGGTCATAAAAGGCAATACAGCTTCTGCCTGGCTCTCTCTTTCAGGATGGTTGCCCTCAGAGCCCAGCAGGCATCCCACAGAGAAGCCCAGGTCACAGGGAGTGGCCCACATGGAAGGCAACTGAGTCTTCCAGCCCTCAGCCCTGGCTGAATTCCCAGCCAAGAGCCGGCACCTACTTGCTAGCGCATCCAGTGAGTCAGCTTGGAAAGAGGTCCTCCAGCCCTCAGTGGATGCTGAGGCACAAACGAGCCTTCCCTGTCAAGCGCTGCCCACACTGGGGGATCATGAACGAAATAAGACATTATTGTTGTTTCAAATCACTATGTTTGGGAGTTTGCTACTCTGAAACAGATCACCAGAATTCTGGCTTTAGTAGAATGGTTCATAACAATGGCAATACCGGCAGCTAACACTTACCAGATGTTTACTCTGTGCCAGGCACCGTGATTTACCCAGTTACCTCATTAAAGCTTCAAAAAACACACACTCTTGGACATAAACATTAATATTATCACCATTTTGCAGCCGAAGAACCAATGAACAGAGAGGCCAAGCACATTGCCCAAGGTCACCCAGCCAACAGGTAACAAA